GGCCTCAGCAGATGGCCGATCACACTGAGCCTGGTTCTGCTGGAGGTTTCTTCCTGTTAAAAGGGAGTTTTTCCTCTCCACTGTCGCTACAAGTATGCTTAATGTGAGGGATTACATCCGAGTCAATGAGTCGATGCAATCAGCTGGTTTTCCTTAGATAGAAAACTTTGTATCAATTTGACTGTATGATCTGGTGAACTGTAAAGTGCCTTGAGATGACATGTGTTGTGAATTCGCACTATATAAATAAACTAAATTGAATTGAATTCCACAGTTAGTACAGGAATCTACCAGGACACTGAATAACTTCAACTCCCCTCTGCTCACAGGCTTACTAGAACTGTGATTTCATTTTTCATCTGGACCTGGGACCAGCCCACACTGCCAAAGGTACAATAAGCTGGTCCACTGAGCCCGGTTCCCTGTTCCTGCCTGGACAGCAGACTTATCTGAACAAAACCTCATAGAGAAACTATGGAGGAGGGTGCAGGAGGGAAGACGAGAAACACCAGAACCGCTGATGATCTGAAGGTCGCTATCAAAGCTTCTACTGGACCTCATCAGAACCTCATCAGAACTTTGGCTGATCTCCTCCATGTCACGCTGCATTAATGTAGTAATTCAGGCAGAAGGAGCTTAAATGGAAAATATTTGTATATATATAGTTTTGTTTTAATAGAGCTGTAAGGTGGTTCTCTATCAGAAATTGGCATGTTTTAGAGTCTGTGCAATGTTGGTCTACGGTGAGTATTTATTGGATTCATTAACCAAATTAGGTGGGGATTATTTCAATAATTGATCATTCAAAGTTAATCTGAATCATCATTCCAGTCCTAATTGAATTCACAGTAATGAACAAACTGTTCAGAAGTTTGGCTAAGTTATTGAACTTTATTGGTGTTCTAGTTTTCCTAGACACTGAACTTTGTTTTTTCTTAATCTTTAGGCAATACCTATAGAGCGTCCTTTATGCAGAACCTCTATTTAGGCTTCTTCAGACTCTCTGCTTCCATGTTGGACCACAGCAGTTACACTCATCTTAAAATCATTACTTTACACCTGCAGAAACGGTTTCATTTATAATATAGTAAGATGCATCTAGGATCATTTTATCTTTCTGCAGAGCATATAGAGACATTTCTGTACAATCGGTTGTGCAATTAGTGGACGTCTTTTGGCTGCAGTAGATCCGCCGTAGGTCAGTTCTGTCAGTGGGAGGTAAAACTTCTGGGGATTAACCTGCTGTAGCAGATGGCTACAGACAGCAAAACCGAGCAGGATATTTTAGGACTGCTGCAGCCTTTCACAGTAGGATGCATGGAAATGTTCCCATATCCAAACACAGGTGGCAGTATTGTTGATTAGTGTTTTAAATTTTAAACTAAGGGTTTAAATCATACTTAGCCTATGATCTAAAAGAACAAACTTTTTTTTTTTAGCAAAAACAAACATTCAAAGATCAAAAGCAAAGAGGAAGTCTTATAAATATTTCTGCTGATTGAACATTTGCATGTGATAAAAAAAAAAAAACACAAAATCATCAGAGGCGGGAAGTAAAATTTCTGAGTATTTATGGCCTAAATTCTGACTCTAAACAAGGCTTTGACTAATTAAACACATGCATCTAAGGCACACCAAAGGATAAATTGAGTGTATCAATCCATTAAATATTAACTTTTTTTTTTATCATGTTTTATTTATTGAAAAAGCAACAATGCCCCACATCGATCTTGATTTATTTTATGCCTTTCATTCGATTTAATAAAAAAAATAATAAAATCATTAGCAGAGCTGTAGGGAACTGTTTGTTTTTTGTTTTTTTGCGTTAAAAGTAATAGTTGTATCCAAAAATCATAATAACCATGTTTTAGAGCAGAATCCTAATTTCTGCAAGCAGCACAGTAACTTCCATCAGAAAGAACCACATAAACCTTAAAACAGTCATTATAAGTAAAACATTTTTAAACTAAGAGTATTAACCTTTAATTTAAGTAGGTAAATAAGATAATATGCATTTGAAAACAGACAATGCAATTGTTTTTTCTTTTTTTAGATTTAGATTGTCTTGTTCATTGGCAAAGTGTCTCACTTCCCTCTTCAATTCAAGACAAAAGGCACTTATTTTAAGAAAAAAATGACTTCTTTTATTTTATTTTATTTATTTTTTTGCAGTGTGCTCACACTGACTCAGCTGTTCTCACCTCTGGATCATTTTCTTCCCCTCAGACCTGGAGCACCGCAGCTCCTTCACAGCCGGACCCCCGGTGGGCCCCCGGCTGTGGAGGGTCGGGTTGGCATCAGCCTGCCTCACAGAGCTGGAGGCCCTCCGGCGCCCCGGCTCTGTTCCGGTGCTTCTTTCCGCGGGTTTGGCTCCCGATGGTTTGGGGGCTAAGGATGCGGACCTGACTCTCTTCTCGCAGGTCAGTTTGCACTCCTGGGCCCCTGTGTTTGATACTGTGGGGCCCCTCTGGCTCTTGTCCCGCTGGTGCGGGCCCCTGGAGCAGCTTGACGCGCGGGTTTTACGCACGGAGGGCGCTTGAAGCTGACCGCCTGCCCGGCTGCAGGCTGCTGTCGGCCTCACAGGTTTGTTCTTCTTCGACACCTCCGCTGGTTTGGGCTTCAGGATCATCGTTGAAGGCATTTTTAATTAAATACAATCTGTTTGGATCCAAATCTGATTTGACTCGGAAGAAGCTTCATTTCCATGCTGCCACCTTAAGAAAAAAAAATCTTTAAACAAAACAACAAAAATAAACACATAAATCTTTCTACTTTGTTTAACCTCTTGATCCTGTTGCTATGGAGCTGGCTCCCTGGCAACCCCACGGTCAAGTCCAACAGACAGGACAGGAAACAAACTTCACAGACCTTCACAATAAAAGCATTCCCTTTCCTGCAAAACCCCGAAAAACCCCGATTTTTAAAGAAACTTGAAAACATCTCGGATCAAATTGGAGTTTAGATAAAATACATCCACACTTTTATCTCAAATATTAAAACCTAAAAATGTAAACAGTAGATACAACTTAGGATGTGAGGAAAGTATTGCCTTTCACATAAATGTTGTTTATAGGCCTGTCTAGCTATATGCTTATATAAATACATAGAATAGAATAAAATAGAATAGAATATTAGGCATTAGGTAGAATAGCCCAAAGTATACTTTAGTAAGTGAGTAGCACTATGTAAATGTTTTGTTTACTTAAGTTAAAATAATAAGTAGCCATCCAAGAAACTACTTACATAAGATTAAAAAAATATATTTTATAAGACTACTCAAATACTCTGAAATTAATATTTTAAATTAATCTACTTAGACATTAGAAATATAGTAATAAAGCTCTTAAAGACTAGAATATAAAAATATTCTAAATATAAGATTATTACAAAATAAAAAATTGAGACAGAATATGTTTTTCTTTGTTTCTTAATCATAAAACTTATGAAAACAAACATTAATAAATGCCAAAAGTATTTAGTCTTCTGCTACTCTTCATCTGTCTGGTCAAATTTGTTGGCAGAGCCACACTTCCAGCTTCCAATATCATTGGAAGCCGGCTTCCTCCCACTGTCCAAAAACATGAATGGAAGGTTTATTGGCTTCTGTCATTTGTTTGTGTATGCATGCTTGTATCTCTCTGTGTTGTCCTGCTTCAGACTGCAGACCTGTCCAAGGCGTATGCCGCTTCTCACCCATAGACTGCAGGCCCAACCGTGACCCTGATGAAATAAGCGGGAGAAGATATACAAGACAAATCTATGAGATTCTTTTTTATTTGCTTATCTTGTGCCTTTATCGAGGTCCTTTACTGCAGATTGTTGTTTTTTGTGCATAAAGTACATGAAGTTTAATTAATGACTTTGTGTAAATCTGAGCAATGAGCTGTATTCTACTAAAACAGCTACTGCTTTTATTTTGAAAAACAACCCACCTAGTTTCCTTTTAACTTAACTGACTGCGCAGTCGCAGATTAGATGACGCAGCAGTCTCTGCAGGTGGTGTTGGCTCACCTGTTGGTTCCTAAACGGAGGATGATCGGATTACTGACCCGCGCGCCACCCTGCACGTGTCACATGACCGCGCACGAGGATCTATTATACAGACGCTGGGCTCTTTTTTTCTCCATTGCTCTGTTATTTATTATTATATTGTTTTACTAGTTATTGATTTATTATATTGTTTTATTAGTTATTGATTTATTATATTGTTTTACTAGTTATTTGTTTTATTAGTTATTTATTAGAAGCGGCCAAATTCTCCAGAGTTTCTCTTGAAACTGTCACTCATTTTGAATCCAGGAGTCAACCTTAACACTTATGCAACAACAAGGTTTTGCTTTTTATTAAACATAATGATGCTGCTTCTCTCACACTGAGATATCATGAAATACAGATATTAAAGATGAATATAATGCAATTAATTTTAAGGTTATTTAGCTCTTTTTCTGGAGGATGGGATTACTCACATGCTTTGGTATCATCTGGAGCTGAAATCCTAATTTCTATCTAATCTCTTGTTATTAAAATTGCAAACTAATACTGGAAATAGAATAGAATGGTATGGAATAGAAAATACCTTTATTGTCCCACAATGGGTAAATTCAGGTGTTACAGCAGCAAAAAGATTATAGAAAATTATAGAAAGTGTAGATACTTGGAAGGGGAATATGAAAAGGGAAGGACTAGACCAAAAAAAGCAAATGTCCTCTACTGTAGGAGCAGTTTAGAGGACAAAAAGATATTTTCAGCACAGATACAATCAACTACCAGGTAATTACGCTAAAATCAACTAAATACATTTAAGTTCAGAAGTTCAGTCACAGATGAAGTACAACGCATTCAGCTCAGTTTACGCCCAGCTGGTTGAATCAAGTGGTTAACTTGGTATAAATTCCTCCATCTCAACATCCATCCGGACTGGTGCAGAGATAACAGCCTGATCCTGAACGTGGAGAAGATGAAGGAGATCATCTTGGACTTCAGGAAGAACCTGTCTAACCACGTTCCACTGCTCATCAACAGCTCAGCTGTAGAGGTGGTCAGCAGCACCAAATTCCTGGGGGTGAACATCACACACACCACCACCTGGACTGGAAACACCACCTCACTGGTCAAATAGGGCGCAGAAGCGCTTGGACTTCCTGCAGAGGATGAGGAGAGCCCACCTGCCCCCACTCATCCTCCCCACCTTCTATAGAAGCACCATAGAGTGTTCTGAGCAGCTGTCTCACTGTGTGGTGTGGAGGCTGCAGCGCCTCAGACTGGAAGAAGGTGAGAGAGTGGTGAGAACAGCAGAGAAGGTCATGGGGGCTCCTTTTCCCTCCATTAAAGACATTTCATCCCAGCGCTGCATGTCTCGAGGCCATAATATCATAAATTACCCCTCACCCCCCCACCATGGACTGTTCTTCCTGCTGCCCTCTGGGAAGAGGCTTCGCAGCATTGGGTGCAGGTCCAGCAGATTCTGCATCAGCTTCTTTCCTCACTGCCATCAGACTGATGAATGTTGAATAAAATGGTGTTTAAAAAAAAAACAAAAAACGCTGAATGTTGGAAACCATAAATCATCGCTCAGTCTTATGTTTACATTTTATCACTGCTGCACTTTAAAAATGGAAATGTCTTGAGAGCTGTACTGAACAAAATTTCGTTTTGTATACACTCTGTGTGTACAACATGACAATAAAGTTTTTCTAAATCTAAGTCATCTGGTAACAGTGGAAAGTAAGAACTCGCCTTTAGGGACAGAAGGTAACGGATGAAAGAGTTTGCCCTGCAGCCAGAGGGTTGTCGGTTCAAGCCCCGGCTTTGGCTTTCAGTGTCATTGTATCTTTGACGCTACACATGCATTGGCTGCTGATGGTGGTCAGAGGGACTTATGGCACCAGTGTGCCAGAGTACGGCAGGGCCGCTTCTGTCAGTGAGCAGTGACTGCAATTTAATTTGCCACCATCAGTGTCTGAGTGAATGGGTGAAAGACTGAATGTAGTGTAAAGCGCATCAGTCATCTTTAAATGTTGGAAAATGTAGGAGTAACTCATTCTCTTTTGATTTTCACTCATACATGCTACGAAGAAGGAATTAACAAGTTTTAAAGAGCAGAATGCAGCACAGACTGTCCAGTGAGCCAACATTATTATAACATGTTCAGGTTGGTTTGGATCGAGTGTCTCTCCTCACAGTTCTCTACAGGGGATGACTGGAATGTGTGACCTTGCAGTTCCAGCTCATCAGGACCAATCAGAAGGAGATGAACGAGGAGCAGACTCCATGAGGAAGATCCAGATCGTTAGCTCTCTAAGTGTAAAAATCAGGCTCACTTTCTCTGCCTTTTTATGATCCAGTCCAAGTTTGTTCTCTAGTTCACACATATAACTGCTCGCATCATTGGAGAAATCCTCGTATGATCCTTTCCATCAATCTGTTAAAACCCTTAACAGGAATATGGTCATGCACATGGTCCAGAACTTCAAGTGCCACCTGAATTTCAGTAAATTAAGTGAACAGTGGATAATCTTTATATCATGGCATTCTTATCATGGTCCTTTATATGAATGTATAAATGCTGTTGGGTTAAGAAGGATCTGTGACCGGATTAAATGGCTGGTATACATTTATTTATTTATTCAAATTCCTAAACACAAACCACCTTAAGATGAATCCATCTAAAAGAAAAAAAGACAATAAAACATGATCAAACGGACAGATATAAAAGCATTTTGTGCTATTTTGTTTGATAAATAATTATTATTTGAAGTTATTATTTCAGAAAAGGTTTTGGATTTTATCTTATTCTTTTCCAGAGCTGCATTCATTATCACACATTTTAATGAAACCTACAGCTGATTAATGGATCAGTCTGATGTGTAAATTTAGATAAAATCATGACCTAATTAATACATCTGATTTCCAAATTCCCCCTAAGGAACATGTTGTTGTTTAGTTGTAATAACTCAGTGTAACTGATTTCTAAGCAGCTCATTCCAGCACTGGGTCTCCGCTTGGTGCTGATGCGCATGCGCCACCTGTGCAGCCATGCTCCGTGCTACAGTTCACCTGTAGTTCCAGCTCTGATCCAGCAGGCTCGGCTGCAGCTGTGTGCAGCCGTTAGTTCCGTTCCGGTCCTCCTGAGCTCTGTGTGGTGCTGTCTCTCTTTCTCTCTCTCTTCTCTCTCAGCTCCAAACCGCCTCCATCGCTCCCCACCAGCAGCGGACTGAGCAGGCCCCTCACAGCCGCTACACGGTGCCCCCTAGCCGGGCTCATTCCAGCCGCACACCCCGGCAGGTGAGACTGCAGCTGGTTCCCCAGACACCAGCGGGGCCCTCCTGACCGCCCCTGTGGGAGCCAGATCCACGGAGCGCCCCACGGCTGCGAACCGGAGCTGTGATGAAACCATAAACAGAGTGCGACACGCACGCACACACGCATGCAGACACAGCATAAACGGGGCCGTGGGATCGCGCTTGAACTTGGCCGTTTGGCCCCCTCTGCGTGAGAGCCGGGGGGCCGCGGAAGCATCGGGGCTCCGCTGCGCTTTTTGGGGAGGTTATTGTCTGTGGAGGCTGACGCGCTCTTCGCAGCGGCCCCTGCGCTGTCAGACGAGGAAGTGAGGCTTCATACACGCCCATCGGAGCAGCGGAGAGCCGTTCATCAGATAACAGCCGCGGACTTTATCAACATGCGCTCACTTTCTGATGGAGAGCTCCGGGAATAAGCTGGGCCACGTTTCCTGCAGGTAGGTGAGCGGAGCGCTTTACGCAGCG